TTATTTGGGGAACATTGTAAGTATCCTTAGAACCAAATGGTGTTGAAAAATGACAACAACATGCTTTTGAAGGACCGGGTTGTCGAATGTGTTGTGGCACACGAAAATGTGGCACACGAAAACACATTTTTTTGGAAAAACAAACACACATTTTTGCAACGGACATCGTTCAACGGTTTGTTTGGGGATGTGCAGAGTTGCGTTTTGGCGAGGCCACGTCAAACTTGTGAGGACACATGTTGTTGAACATGCAGTTTTGTGCACACTGGTGCATCTTTGACAAGCCAGGATTGTGATTTGGATGTGTCACATTTTTTCAAAAACACACGGTGGGGTCGAACCACATGCACAGGTTTTTTCTGGAAAAATTTAGCAATGCAGCATGTTTTCGAAAAAAACACATTTATGTTCAACGCATTTTGTACATGCATGCACACATGTGGATATTTGTGCACAAATGTGCAACCTCATGTTTTTGAAAAGGCGCGCTTGCATTGTCGAAATGCTGCCGAAAAATGTCAGACAGCATGCTTTGGAAGAGACAAAATCTTGGAGTTGCAATGTAACTCTTTTGCTTGTGTATGTCATGGTTGTTGAAAGCAAACCAACTTAACAAGTGATGTTTGGGGTCGATGCTGGTGCAATTTGTGGTAAATTGTGATTGACTTCGGTGATTTGCGTTCTCAGAAGGTTGTGCGCAACCGTGCACACATGCCAAAAAAGACACGACACAACCACGCCAGTTCACGCACTTTGCATTTAACACTCTCACAATGTGCAGATCGCGTTCACAGACATACAGACCTCCAAATAGAAAAAACAATCAAATCCATTTCACAATGTATTGGAAACCGTTTCTAGCCATTTGGGGACCACTATAGTGCGGCGTTACATTCATGGATGTTATGCAGATCATTGGCACCATATTGTCACGTGTTTGATGTCGATGACGGGATTGTGACAAATTGATTTTTAAAGCATACATCAGGCAACCCAGGTCTTAAATAAAAGGTATTCTGTTTGATGTGCATTCTTTTTAAACTGATGACATTCGGTGCTTCGATGACTGTGACTATGATCCCAATGTGCATGGACAAGATCGTACTGTGTGGTCTATGAAAAGCTGTATTTGGTTCAAAAAGTAGCGGCAAAATATTGGCCTTTGAGGTGAGAAATGGCCGCGGTTCACGAGGACAGCAATTCTGTGTTCTGTCTTCGACAAAGAACATTGTTTGTCATGGGAAGCAACGTCACAACCTCACATGCAAGGATGATTATGACTACTTGTACAAGGTTGTACTAGCAATGCACTGAGACCACTAATCCAGAGTAAGGGACATTTGTTTGCACAAACCGAAAGAACAGTTTGCCATTGAGGTCGGTGATGCCACAGTTGGCAAGACACATCTTTTGCTTGCAACTTACGAACCTTTTCAACTGACGAAGCTTTGATATTGAGATCTTGTGCAAAATAGCATCCAAGGTCTCGCTACATCAAGGGTTCATTGCCAAAAAATCCAACTGCCACGCAGAGAGCCAAGATTTCTCAGTGTACATGTTGACGTGTTCTGAGATACAAGTTGCTCAATGTCAATGAGTTGAACTGATTTTTGCTCATCGAACAAATCAGGATCGGGGTGGAATTTGCAACCCGTACTGTTCCTTTGGCCGCCAAGTCCTTGGATGTTTTAGACGAGAAACCAAAGTCATGATATTACTTGATTCAAGAGGCATAGAGAATCATTGGAAGGTCGGGGGCACAGTGAAAGCGCAGATTTGGGACACTGCAGGACAGGAGAGGTGGGCTTGTGAGACAGTCCTTTAGTAGCGCTGTATGTGAGGTTGTACTGGACAAGTCAGCAAGGGGAATGTTTGCAGGTACCGGGCGATCACAAGTGCTCATTACCGACGAGCAGCTTCTTTGGCCTGTTTCAAAGCCTTATTTCTTTTAATACATTGCGACTAGTTCGTGTCAATTGCTGGAATTGGTTTGACCGCCCGAAATCTGCTTTTAGCTCGTTTCCTGTGGGGTGTCAGGTTGGTGCCCTGCTGGTGTATGACATAACCAGAGAAGGGACATTCAAGAGTTGTACCAAATGGATGGAGGAGAGACGATTTTGCAGTGTTGATCGTAGCAGGCACTACCCAGTTCAACATAGAACACAGTGTTGCGAAGGAGTTGCGACAGAGTGCTGAGCCAGACATTGTTATCATGCTAGTTGGCAACAAGGCCTGAGTGTTTTCGTTTTTGTGTGACGGCAGTTCAACATAGGATGTCTTGTCTTCGTGGCAGGTGGACCTTGTGGAAAAGGATCCCTCGCTACGGCAGGTTGGGACTCGACGAGTGGACAGTGGCGGTCTTTGAGTGTATAGAAAGCTTGATCTAGGAACCAAATCATAGTGCGAGCGTGAGCTATCCTGCGTCCAGTTACTAGAAGCTAACTTAGCCTGGTAACTAGTAGCTTACTCCCTTACTTAATCAAGTAGGCGCCTACTTATCTAAGCAGGCGTAAAGAATAAGCTTGGACGAAGGTGTACTTCGACGCGGCTCATGAGTTTGCCAAGCTCCACGGCTTGATATTTGAGGAGGCAAGGCTGGCAAGGCTGTGATTTGGTACGATTTGGAGGTTGTGCTACATGGTGTGCTCATCTAACTCCATTTCTCAGTGCCAGACTGCAGGCCAGTGCAGTGACCTCCCACAATGTGAAGTACATTTTCGAACACCTGCTTCAGGAGAGGGTAAATGTGCTTTTGATGCTTTGGATTGATTGGGTAGTTGACTGCGTGCTAGATTCGTATGGATTTGAAGGAGATCTATGACCAGACCTCCAAGAGAAGAGAGCAGCAAAGCATTGACAACAGTAATATGGTGGGCGGCATTCAGGCAGATGTTCTTTCGTATTGTTTTGCCTGCTTTACATACTTCCATATTTATTTTCCGTGCGACAACGGCGGCAGCGGCAGGTAGCAGCAATCGGTCCAAAAAATGATAGCACTGGACTCGGCAACGTCATCTTGACAGAATGACCAAAGCTATTTCCGTAATGACACATTTTTACAATTGTTTTCGGATGTTCTGAAGCCATTTGTTGCCTAATTAGAACTTGTTGCCTAGAACCAAGGCTGTGATAACTCCTGTTGACGAGCAGTTCCAGTGATGGAGGCCTGTAGGACAACCGTGACGGCCAAAGCGCCATTTTTGGAGAAAGCAGGGATTCTTGAGCAAGGACGCTACTAGGAGCAAAGGGCATCGCTACTAGGAGCAAGGACGCTACTGGGGGCTCCTGGCCATACTACTAGTAACAAGAAGCTAGTAGAAACATGAAGAACTTTATGTTTATGCTTTGTACTGGTCAACGATGATTCATTCGAATCATGCACTGCAAGAGCTTTTGTTTGTTTCGTCGAAGGCCTGACTGTGTGGTCGACAATGTCCCAATTTGGGCTTTCTGTTTGTTTCGGCAACATGAGAACAATTGAACGCTGCAAGCCTGCGGCAGGAAACTTGCCGCTCGCAGCAGCAGTGGCAATGACCACATCAATTTGCAGAAGCTAATGTTTTCAGAGGCAATTCGTCAGAGTTGTGTGCGTCTCATCGGTCTTGCAGCACGACCAAAATGCGCGATCTCAGTTCATATGTCATGCCCTGTGTCGGTGCCATGGTTCCCTGGTTTAGGGTTGTGGGGGAGTCTTTTTGTTTCATCATTGTCGTTGGACCCAGTGTCACAGGAGGTTCTGCTGGAGTCTGGTCGGTCAGAGGTTGTTGGGATGGAGAGCCCATCTCTGCCATCATCTGTCCCTGCCGTCCAGTGCGTCCTCCCAGACCAGGCTGCCATGGATCACCTCCAGGCTCCTGCCACTGATCAGCTGGTCCATCAGCTGGCAAAGGCACCTCAGCTGCTTGGTCAGCCGCCACCGGCAGATGAGAGCAAGGCTAAGCAGGTAGGCAGCCTGATGGGGACCACTAAACCGCCCTGAAAATTCCACCAGCAAAAGGAAAACCAATCAGGGCCTAAAGCACAGCAAGCAAAGCAACACACGCGGGCTACTGTTTGTGCAAGCGAACAATCGAATGCCTGCGGTTCATGAAAGTGTGGAAAACTCAAAGAACACAGCAAGTCAACACCATTGAAGTCACCCAATCGCAGATGTAGTAGGTAACTTGTGGCGGTTTTGAATGATCTTACCATGGTAACCTGGTATTTGTACATACTGTACTGTATTTGTAAATGATCCATTCGGTGCCTTCACAGACAGAATGTCAGCTTTGTTCCCATTGCCAATGGCTTGTGAGATTTGACATCCTCTCTATTTTGTCCGCTTTTATGGTGTTTCCAACATGGATTCCACTTCTCGCTCTTGCTGACCGGGCAAATTTGCGACCGCGTTTCAAATCTCACATTCATTATTATGGTCACAATTTCTGTACCGCAATGCCTTCACAGCCCTAAGCATGGACTTGAGACCTTGCATGTGTGTTGGTGACCACGTTCTCGTGGCAGTGTACGCCGTTGTGGTTTATCAAGCGGAGTATTGTGCGCAAGTATGTGCAGGCGAAGACACCTATAAACGGGCCTGTTGAACAATGTTCTTGAATGGGAACGCCCAGCAAGGACAAGTTTGCACCTTGCGCAAGCGAAATCAGCGTGCTGACATATTCATCGAAACAATAAGCATAGAGAGAACGTGTTGTCTTGAGGAAGCTTGTTTCTTTGGCATGCTGTGGAACGACCTAGATTTGGGTCAGCTTCCCATCAAACTTGCATTCTTTTGCCTTTCTTGACACAGCCAGCTGTGAAGTCATTCACGTGCTGCTGCGTCAAGGATTCGCGCTTTTCAGCCCATTGTAAGGGATTGTTCGTGCAGCTCGTGCTTAAATCACTTGCGCTGACGGTGGCCAACCCAGTGAAGTGTGGAAAACGGTTTGCTATGCTTTTGCGCCAAATATTTTGGTTCAGGAGATTTCCTAAGCCGGCAAGTTTAATCAAATTTGCCAACAATGAAGCGTTTGCGGGCCCTGCATGGGATGAGCCTTGCTTTGGCATTGTGTTTCATTCAGGCCACCGGCGAGCAAAGTATGATCTCTAAGTTGCACGCTAGCTCTCAATCTGCAGCAGAAGCTGCAAATGAATTGCAGCACATCCTGCAGAGTGGGAAAATGAGCATTCCATTGAGCTTGCAGGCCATCCAGACAACCCTTGTGAAGATGGGGCATGAAGTCAGCAACAGCAGTGCTGTGACGACATCTGACTTTGCCAAAAGCATTGAGCCGTTGCTCTTCTCTATGCAAGATACAATCCGCAGCCAAAACAAATTGACCCAGCAGACTCTTGACAATTCTTGGACCACTTTCACTGCTTGCAGCTTTGACTTCTCAGGTCCAAGTGGCTTAGGAGATGTGGCAGCACTGGAAAACTCTCATACGACTTGCCGAGTCGAAGAAGGCATGAGGAAGACAGCATTGGATGCTTGCCGCATCGTTCAGAGCAACAAGGAGTCAGCTCTTGCAGATGCAAAGAAAGACTTTCACGGAGATGATGCCAACGGTGCAAAGGGGAAAAATGCGCTCCCTGAGGCAAACTCATGTGATTTTGAGCAAGTTGGAGCAACTTGGACATCTCCCAAGGAATACTTAGAGTATTTTGAGAATCATTTCGGAACCCTTCTGAGTGATTGGCGAGCCTCTCGAGATTTGGTGATTAAGTCCCAGAACGAGACGAATATGCAGACAGCTCTTTGCAATGCCAAGGAGGCCAATTGGACCAATCAGAAAGGAGATTGTGCAGAGTTCCAGAAGGCTTTGGAGAATGCAGCCTGTGACATTCTCACACACAATACAGCTTGCAGAAGTTATACTGGCTGCTACAACAGGGAGTGGCACGCGTATGGGGAATCCCAGAAGTTGACAAAAACCCAAGAAGCAGAGCAAGAAGCAGAAATGATGGGAACCCTGAAAATCCTGTGCATGATCCGCGCCTTTGGTCAGCCCGACCTCAATCAGAAGATAGACAGATGCCTTGAAACAGATTACAGCACAACCACTGAGGTCACGTCCTTGAAGATTACCTACTACCCAAACTCCAAAGATGCTATGCCGACTGACCAGCGCCCTACTTGTGCATCGGCTTTCAAAGCATCCATGATTCCCGGCACCAAGAGCTTTGAGAACACCCACTACTCAAGCTTGCCTGCAAATGCTCCTTTTGGAGCTTGCTCAGCGGCATGCTGTGGATATGCAGAGCCAACTTGTGTCAATTATGGTTGCAGTGCCAAATATGTTAAGACACAGTTGTGCCAATGCAATCCTGGGTGTGAGCTTCATGGCGACTGCTGCTGGGATTACTATGACAAGTGCAATGTGACTTCGGCAGAATACACAATCATTCTGAACGAAGTGGCTTTCAATGGCCGTCCTGGTACTTGTGAGGGTGCAGACTGGATTGAACTCTACAATGCGGCCTTTGCTGCTAAAGACATCAATGGCTGGAGTCTGCAAGTTGAAAAGCCCGATGAAAAGAACCCTGGTTCAACCGTCCAGTATGACATTGCGTTTGACACAAGTCAGACAATTGAGCCTGCATCTTTGTTAGTTGTGTGTGCGAAGCCTGGTGGTTTGACAGACCAATCACTTCCAAACATTGAGATTGAGTTCGAGCCAGGGAACAAGATTACATGGATGGACAAGGATGGCAATGTGATCTCAAGCACCACCATTGAAGGCAGCACTGGAACAACAAACACATGGGCTCGCCTAGCCGATGGAAAGTTTGGCTTGAAAGAGCCCACACCTGGATCCCCAAACAAGTGATCAATGGCGTCATTGTCAAAAAGTACGCACGCTTTGATCTTGAACTAGGTCATTGATTCGTGTTTGTATTTTTTTGCATATTTTTTCGGTGACAAAGTCGGCCCACCAGAAGGATAATTCGCTTGAGGATTTAAGATTGCCGTTGTGTTTGATTCGTTTTCTCACAACGATCCTTCACCAACTTGAGAGAAAGTAGAATCTCACTGTTTTCGATGACTTGCTTATGCGCTTGACGACAAGCTCGTTATGGCTCAGAGATTGGGCGGTTTGCCGGGGGGTAGCCCACACAAGCAGACCCACGACCAAAGATAGAAGATGTTGCAAAGGCCCTCCAAAGCACTTGTGCCCTTAGTTCCTTCGGCTGGGATGGACCTGCTTTAGCTGATATTTAAACTACACATCAAGTATCCCAGGTGTCTTAGCAAACAGCAACTGGGTCAGTGCTACCCGCATGCTGAAGACAGCATAAGAAGGCTCAAGATATCAGCTGGCTGTAGACAGAGAGATGAACAGTTTGTGTCCTGAGCATGGTCTTGCAAAGGCTTGTTGACTGATTCGCAATGCCTGAAGTGGACGAGGATGAGCTATCTGATTCCACAAGGGCGGCCCTTCGGATACAAGAAGAAATCGATGGAAATGGTCCGACCACCAGTTCCAAAAGCACACCTTCCTCTCGCAAGAGCAGTGCGCAGGTGTCAAATGGCACGCATGGGGCAGTTACTGGAATCGCACTTGGTGAATATGCTCACAAAAAGGGTGGTTCTGGAACAGTCCACATCAAGATGAAGGGGAGCAAGGTGCGACATACATGAGCGCAAGTGAACATGTTTGACATTGAACGCTTCTAGTCGTTCAGGCCGGCTTTTTCAGCGAGAGTTTGGAATCTCTGGCGTATCGTCATGACTCAGACGATGAGGTGCTTGTACTTGTAGTTTTTTGCAAGTCATGGAATCAAGGTCTGAGCAAACTCAATGTGCAGGTTAATCCGGAGGCACCAAGTGGAAGCTTTCGACAAAAGGACTTGGCCAGAGAAGCAAGTGGCACCGGCAGCCAAGCTGTGGGCTTGGATGGCAAGGTCTACAGCTTCATTGAAGCGCCAAGCGATGATGAATCCAGCGCTGAAAGAAATGCCCCGAGTGATTCCCCAAGACGCCACTGATTGTCACTGTCGACTGTAGTTGGCTATTCTGAGGAGAGCTTGAATGCAGGTCCATGAAACGTTCTATTTTTCAATTTTGCACAGAGTGGCAGAGTGGCATCAAGGCCTTGCTGTGTCAAAACCTATGCAAGGTGCGGTGAAGGATAAAGGCAAGTCCAAAAAAAAAGTGAAGAAGGACAGCCGGGAATAGCTTAACTTGCGATGTCTCTTGTGATCAGCAACAGAACTGGAAGGGATTTAGCTTCATCTCAAAGCAGGCAAAACCTCAACTTTATCAAATTTATGTTTGTACTGTACACTGTGCATGCTACTTGTTTAGTGCAACCCTTTTCTTGCTCTGTCGAACAATGACGTCTCCCGGTGTTTCTCTATCATTGATTATTCATCAGGTTGCAACGCCATTGCGTTGCCAACATCAGCCAAAATCTCTCTCGCAAAGCGCACTCTCTCTTTGTCAATGGGCCTCTACCGTGCAGAACCAATGCAGACGTGTGCTTGAAGAGTCCACCACAAGGGTGTACGGTATCCCAAAGCTTCTTCCATGAATAGACCAGAATAGTCACTTGATGCTGGACAAGCAACACTTCCTGTTCAAAGAAGACTATATAGACGCCTTGTCAAATAGTTGCTCAATACAGTACAGTGGACGAAGAGACTGTCCTAAGACGGGCAAAGTTAGATTTCAAGGAACACATAATACATATTAACATAATATTCGCGCCGCTACGCGGCTGGGCCCGCCCGCACCGGAGAGCTATCTGCTGAACCCAGCTACGGCCTTTCAACTATTTTGCTGTTTGCCGTGGTATCAGCAGGGCAGTCGTATAGTATAGTTGGACTGGTGTCCTACCGTCCCGACTCTACCTGGCTAATACGAACCCCTAGCCAGCTAGAGCCGTACCATGAAGCCGCTGATGTTTGTTTATGCCGGTTCTACCGGACCAAATCTTCAAAAACTCGTTTTTTACTTCTTCACTTTTTCAGGAACACCTCAAACATTTGCGTGACCTGAAACTCGAAGCCTTCATCAAATCCGTTATTTACGACGTTTTTTGCTCTCAATTTTCAACAACTTTCAAAAACTCAGGTTTCTTGCAAGATAATGGTCCCCCCAGCTAAAGCTAAAATCTTGCGATTGACCATGCCATCTGGCGGTGCGGGCGGATTTTGGAATAAAATAGCAACAGTGATAAAGACATCATTGAAGAGTATCACTGAACGAGAAGTGCTGTCCGCCGTACATGACTTGTGCTTGCATGTCTCTGACCGCGTATTTACTGATACTGATCTCGTGGCACTTGTGCAGAGTTTGATCAAGTTTGCACCAAACGTCTTCTCTGAGAAGTGAGAGGTCGCCACCGAAACCCGCAAACCAGGCAGGTTTTGACCAAACAAACTGTTACATCAGCTACTGTGGGAGCGGGAACATGCATTGACACATCAATCCCATTGAAAGGTTGTCCAGGATGCAAAGCAGGTGTATTCACGTCGCTTCGCGACGGTAACCGCCCGCACCGCATGGAAGGGGCCAATATTTCCACCGAACATAGCCCCGGAAGTGCCCCCCCCCTCCCCAACGTGGCCGAGCATAGATTCCATGTTTCGAGATAGGGATTTAACATGGCCCAACGTGTTAGGCAATATGAAAGCTATGTTTGGCCACGTTAGGGGGTGTTTTTTATTCCAGTTTACGACGTTCAAGTCCCTATCTCGCAGACACTACCTTTAGATAGTGACTTCTAGGGCTATGTTAGGCTATCTTCACTCTATTCCAGTCCCTTTTGAGCCTTCGTTGGGCCATGT